TATTTGCTCATTTTCCACGATTTACAGTATGGTCGATAACTTTTTTGAAACGAACGAAAATTCATGCGCAAATTCATATAATTCTTTGACATTATGTGTCATCCATATAATCAAATCAACATGGCCTTATCATCACGGTATTACCGGTACCGGGTATATATACACAACCCTATATCTAGCTATAGTAGCCCTTTCGTTTCTTCGTTAGTTCCGTCATCGAGTCTACGAGTAATAAGAAAATAGAAGCTTAGTTTCTCACATCAGAAACATGAAGCATAAGACAAAAATGATGTTTCTGATGATTGTTAAAATCAAGATTTCTCTCAAAACACGTGTTATTTGCGGTAGAACAGCTAGGACACGTGCGCATGTCCATTTGGTCTAGTTATTTTTTCATTAAAAAAGTCCTTGTTGTATTTACAATTTGATAACAGACAATTTACTAGGAACTGGGACAAAACAAGGACGTTCTGTCTATCTTGTTGAACGTCCTTGGACAAAATAACAACGGACGATCTGTTTTCACCAATCACTATCGCGGACGCGCGCTTGCTGTCCGGAAATATAATGTCTATATATTGACAAAAAACGGCTATTTTCTGTCAGACCACACAACAGTGGTCAGGCTGAGACGGAGAGAGAGAGAGTGTGTGTGTGTCCATTCAGCCAAATCCTGTAGAATCGGTAGGTAAAATAACTTGTAAATGAATCTGGCATTCTGTGCCATTTAGGAGATATACAAAAAATATTTACACTGTAACTTGGTGGAGTTACTAAATCGTAAGATGAAGCAGGTTCTGAAGGGACTGGATACCAGACTACCTTTCCCGGCTTATAGGTGTGTTTTGTTACTCTAGTGTTTTTGGCTTAATTTAGTCGTGTTTTTAGGCTTTTTATCCGGATTTCTTTTTTGCACTGGAACGCCAACCCAACTTTCCAGTACATTTTTTTCGAGTAATAAAAAAAAAGAAGCTTAGTTTCTCACATCAGAAACATGAAGCATAGAACAGAAACATAGAACTCCCTTTTTAGCAATTTAGCTAAGTTGGTAGGATTTGACATAAACCTCAATGATCTCTCTGATGACGTTTTAGTTCATTTATTCCTTAGAGGTTCTGTATCACTATCATATCCAAATAACTTTAAATTTTTACTTTATGTTCAATCATTTATAAAGGAAACTAAAAGATTTGAGTAAATCTTTCCTATCAATTTTGTAAGTTTTGCCTGGAGTACTTTATACATTGTAACCTTATTTATTCTATTCTGTTATTATTAAGCTTTGCATGTCTGTTTTTGCATTTGCTTCTGTATTTTTGTAATGTTAGATGGCGACATGAACATAAGCTCCGGCTTGAGTGTGTCGTCATCCTGTCCACTTTGTTCCTAAATGTTTTAATAAAGAAAAAAAAAAAACATAGAACAAAAAACGATGTTTCTGATGATTTTTAAAATCAAGATTTCTCTCAAAACACGTGTTGTTATTGGCGGCAGAACAGCTAGGACACGTGCGCATGTCCTGTTACCTTTCATAAAAAAGTCCTTGTTCTATTTACAATTTTAGAACAGACAATTTACTAGGAACTGGGACAAAATAACATATTTTTTGACCAATCACTATCGCGGACGCGTGCTTGCTGTCCGAAAATATCATAATGTATCCAATTATCAAGGACATTATAATGTCTATATCTTGACAAAAACGGCTATCGTTTATCAGACAAGACGGCACGGCACAACAGTAGTATCTGAGAGGGAGAGAGAGTGTGTGTCCTTTCAGTCCAATTCTGCAGAATCGGTAGGTAAAATAGCTTTTAGATGAGTTTGACATTCTGTGCCATTACTGAAAAAAAAAAACGCGAATCAAAAATATTTTCACCGTAACTTGTTGGTGGAGT